ATCTTGGTCAAAATGTATTCCGCTATCTTTTTAGTAAAAAAATAACCTAAATTGGTTTATAACCAAAAATTATCATTTTAAAAACAACAAATTTTTGTGTTTTTTATTTTTTTAGATTTTTTTTTTAATTTTTACATATTGTCACCCCCGGCAGTACAGTGTCACCATAGTGACACTGTACTACTTGTGGGGGGTGATGAAGATTTTATTTTATTTTTTTTTACACTGATTGCTTTTACACCCATAAAGGCTGTAAAAGCAATCATTTCTTCTCCCTGGCTGCAGCCATTGAGAAATACTGTTAGAGCTGTAATTGGTCACAGCTTGTCACATGGTACAAGGCTGTTGTGAATAGCCCTGTACCATGTGATCTCTGTGATCATTCAGATTTCACACGTAGTAAGCAATGATGTTAGAATTGACCTCTTGTTTACTACTGTTCATGTGATCACTGATTGGCCGATCAGTGATCACATGATCGGGACCTCAATCACTCAGAGGTCCCGTACAGCGATCGGTGTTCCACTGTGTCCCAGCGGAGTACGCACAGGCAGGGAAGCGGGACAACGTTATATAAACAACCGCCCGCCCCTGCACTGCCACCGTCTGGCCGTTTATGTACACGGGCTGGACGGGGAAGTGGTTAAAACAATCGCATTTTGTTGCTTTTGCAGCCTGAAATGAAGACAGAGTAAACCCTGCTGGATAAAACAAAAACTGTGTCTGTCTTCATTTCAGTCTTCAAAGCAACAAAATGTGATCGGTGTGATGTGTTTTTTTTTTTTTTTTTTTTTTTTTTTTCACTATTTTGGGCCAGTTTTCCTTTTGATAATAAAAAAAAAAATAATCGGGAGCTATCCATTACCATTTACCACCAAACGAAAGCCAAATTTGTCCTGAAAAAAACGCGGTATAATCCACCTGGATGTACAAAGTAGTTCGGTTTTACTAACACATGTCAACGTTGCAAAATTGTGCTTAGGCATTAGGATTTGTATTACCCTTTAGGCGTGAAGGGGTTAACTGAACGGCGGCGCACCTATTTTTTTTTTTTTTTTTTTTTCCCCATTAATATAGCGAACACCTATTCAGATTTTAGTTTGTAGCACTCTATCAATTGATCTCTAGAAATTACCCGCCAACAATTCTGTTGTAAACTTTGTGTAGATCTTTAGTCCGATGTTATAAGCTGAAGGATTTTGAAAAAAAAAAGACACTGCAGTTGATTTACTAAAACTGGAGAGTGCAAAATCTGGTGCAGCTGTGCATGGCAGCCAATCGGCTTCTACCTTCAGCTTGTTCAATGAAGCCTTGACAATAAAACCTGGAAGCTGATTGGTTTCTACCAGATTTTGCACTCTATCATATTTAGTAAATCAGTCCCCTGTGTGGTTTGAGATGAGGTAAAGCCACCTAGATTGGGAAATTCTAGCTAGTGGTAATATTTTCTTCCCACCATGAAAAAAAATAGGAAAAAAATCCCATGCTTTCTGTTGTGACTGGATATCCGATTTTGCAATTTTATAATGATTATATTGTGATTTATTTTTTTTTTTGTATTTTGCAGAAGTGGAATAGCAACTTTGATGTTCCTGTGTGCAGTAGCCGTGTTCAGAATGATTCTACTAAAGACGTTGATGCGTATTCATCTTTGCCTTTGGAAGAAGTGAAGACATTTGCTGAGCTGTTGGAAACTATCCTGAATCAAAATGTGAGGAGTTATAGGGCACTTTGTCCAATTTTTTTTTTCATTTTTTTTTCCCCATTCAGGCTTGGCATATGTGTTGTGTGTGTGTTTTTTTTATTTTTATTTTTTTCCCATTCAGGCTTGGCGTGTGTGTGTGTCTGTTTTTTTGTTTTTTTTTTGTTTTTTTTATAATTATTGCCTAGAGCTAAAATATTTTTATTAATGCTGTAATTGCTGAACTCATGTTCCGTAAACTTTTCTCTTGGCCAGTGACTGAAACGACGGGGTCAACATTAGAATGAACTAATAAAAAGATATAGTGATACTCGTGAGCCAAAATGCGATACTCCCTTAGTGTAAAAAAATATTTTTGAAATAATTAAATCAAATGAAATGGTGCATCAACACTTTACACAATACTCATTATCTGTGTGAAACATGTGATATATAACAATCAATGTATATATATCCTCGGATATATACACAGGTGTCGCGCTCCATATATAACCGTAATCTTATAAATAATACTGTGACAAAGACTTATTGTGCTACAAAACAGTGCAACATATAGTGCTCAACAAAAATGAATGCTGATTCAACAAAAAGTCCTCTTTATGCTTAAAATATTCAGTGCCAAATTCTGTGCCGTGCCACACTCCCCGTGCTCTAAAGATAGATGTGCGCTCACCTCCTTCTTTAGCCACCCACAGTGGCTAACAGCTCTTTTTGTCCTCTCAGGACTAGGTAGTGATCTTCATATATTATATATATATATATATATATATATATATATATATATATATATATATATATATATATATATATATATATCCATCCATGCCATGGATATATTGCCTTTTTCCTGCCACCAGAGGTCTCCCTTTTTCCTCCTTCCACACTGAGCCTCAATGGGTAGTAGGGATGGTTATTAGTAGTATTTTCTTCTCCCTCCTCTCCTCCTTCCGCCTCCGGAGGAGAGGAGGGAGGAGGCGGAAGGAGGAGAGGAGGGAGAAGAAAATACTACTAATAACCATCCCTACTACCCATTGAGGCTCAGTGTGGAAGGAGGAAAAAGGGAGACCTCTGGTGGCAGGAAAAAGGCAATATATCCATGGCATGGATGGATATATATATATATATATATATATATATATATATATATATATATATATATATATATATATATATATATATATATATATATATATGAAGATCACTACCTACCTGAGAGGACAAAAAGAGCTGTTAGCCACTGTGGGTGGCTAAAGAAGGAGGTGAGCGCACATCTGTCTTTAGAGCACGGGGGAGTGTGGCACGGCACAGAATTTGGCACTGAATATTTTAAGCATAAAGAGGACTTTTTGTTGAATCGGCATTCATTTTTGTTGAGCACTATATGTTGCACTGTTTTTTGTAGCACAATAAGTCTTTGTCACAGTATTATTTATACGATTACTGTTATATATGGAGCGCGACACCTGTGTATATATCTGAGGATATATATACATTGATTAACATTAGAATGAACACTTTCAAAAAGATGTTTAGAAATTGCTGCTCATGTATATCTTTTGAGAGCTTTCCTGTAAAATCTAGTTCATTCCAAAAAAAAAAAAAAAAAAATCTTTGGTTTTCTAAGTTTTTTTTCTTTTCTTTTTTTTTTTTTTTTTTTTTTTTTTTTTTTTTTTTTTTTTTTTTTTTTAGCCTAGCCTTATTGGCCTACCCCATATGGAAGAAAAATTATATTTTAAAAAAATATTCTTCCCAAATATATTGCCATATATTTGAAATGCTACAATTTTGGCCATATTATATATGTATATTGCATGTTGAAATGCATTTTTATTACAAAATATATGAAAATTATTTTTAAAAATACATTTCAAATATACTGTATGTCTATGCAATCTAAAAATTTATATTTGTATTTTTATTTTACAAATATATGTTAAAATGACTTTTATATATTAAAAAAATATGATGAATATATTTAAAAATATATATATTCTGATTTTTTTTTTTAACATCTAAAAAAGTCATTTTAACATATTTTTACATGTATTTGTACATGCATTCCAAAAATGTAGATTTGTATTTTTAAAGACATGCAGTATATTTGAAATGCATTTTTAAAAATCTTTTTCATATATTTTGTAATAAAAATGCATTTCAAGTGTGTGGATAGATAGAGAGATAGATCTAGATATATATAATATATATATATATATATATATATAATCTGGTCTGATAGTCACCATAGTGACACTGTACTACTTGTGGTGGGTGATGAAGGTGGTTTTTGTTTTTTTTTTTTTTTTATTTTGTTTTTTTTTTTTTTTTTGCTGATTTGCTTGCTTTTATACCCATAAAGGCTGTAAAAGCAATAATTTCTCCTTCTCTCTGGCTGCATTCTTCCAGCCATTGAGAAATACTGTGAGAGCTGTGATTGGTCACAGCTTGTCACATGGTACAAGGCTGTTGTGAATAGCCCTGTACCATGTGACCTCCTGTGATCATTCACAGATTTCATACGTAGTAAGCAATGATGTCAGGAAGCGACATCTTGTTTACTACTGTTCCTGTGATCACTGATTGGCCAATCAGTGTGATAACAGGAACAGTCATAATCAGTGATCGCATGAATCGGGACCTCACATAGAGGTCCCGTACAGTGATCAGTGTTTTGCTGTAACTGGAGGACACAGTGGGCTCCGGATCACGGAGCTGCGTGCTCTCAGGGAGTGTGCACAGGCTGTGAATGCGGGCGCCGTTTATAAACAGCAACCCGCTCCTGCACTGCGTCCCCGTTTATGTACATGGGCTGGACGGGAAGTGGTTAAATTGACAGGACTAATCTGTGTAGCACATAGCCAGTCTGTGGGAGCCAGAATCATTGTTGGTTGGTAGGGGATCAAATACTTTTTTTTACTCACTGAACTTCAACTTAATTTATAGCATTTTATATAATTTTTTTTTTTTTTTCTGGATTTGTGGTTGATATTCTGTCTCTATCGTTTTAAAATACATCGATAAAAATGATAGACCATTTCATTGTAAGTGAGCAAACTTACAAAATCTGCAGGAGATCAGATAATTAATTTTCCCCCACTTTATAATCCATTTTTATTTTTGGGTTTCTGATCATTTTAATTTGAGAATTAAAACTGTAACCAGGGTGAGCCTGGAATTTTGTAAATTCTGTCTATTCTAACCGTGTCCTTTCACAAATATTCCAGCTCCCTGCTCAGATGGGCTGTGTACTGCGTCGGCCGCTGCTGCTGAACTACGTCAATTGCCTTAAAGAGGATGACGCATTGCTGCGACTAAAAACTACTGGCTGGCCTTTACTTTACATGAAGGTATAATTAGTACTTTTATCTTGATGGGTTCCCAAAAGGCGTTGGCCTTCTGTTACCTTTTAGTCATTTATAAAAGTCGATCTCTACTGTACCTCCTTTATTGTCAAGCTGAACTGAAGTTGCTGACCATCACCTAGGTCAGTGGTGGGCAACCTTTTTTTTTCAACTGAGCCAAATCTCGCCAAAACCACAATTGAAATTTATTTTGAGAGCCACATTTTTAAAAACTGAAAATACATCCCCCATAGTAATTCATCCCCCATATAGTAATTCATCCCCCATAGTAATTCATCCCCCATAGTAATTCATCCCCCATATAGTAATTCATCCCCCATATAGTAATTCATCCCCCATAGTAATTCATCCCCCATATAGTAATTCATCCCCCATAGTAATTCATCCCCCATAGTAATTCATCCCCCCTATAGTAATTCATCCCCCCTATAGTAATTCATTCCCCATATTGTGTCAATTCACTTACCTTTGCTCCGCGCGTTCCTCTCGCCATGTTCCCGCGCCGCGGTCTTCAGGGCGGACTGTGAGAGGAGAGGAGTTCGTCACGCTGCCCCGCCTACATCCTGGCTGCCCCGCCTACATCCTGACAGCCAATGTTTGCCACGCTCCGCGGGCCGGATTAAAAGGTCCGCCGGGCCGTAGTTTGCCCATTGCTGGGCTAGCTGCAGAGTCCTGACTTTTGGGGCGGCAGCCCGAGAGGAGGGAGGGGAGCGGGCGCCTGGCACACAGAAGAGCCGCATTAGAGTGTGTAAAGAGCCGCATGTGGCTCGCGAGCCGCGGCTTGCCGACCACTGACCTAGGGGGTCTGGTAAGGTTGCATTCACATGGGAATTGGTGTGCGGATGGTTTGCTACGTTCAGCGGTGGCTACACACGGTCTCTGGACACGGCAACATTCCGTGCTATGGAGGCATACAAACGGGCTGATAACCTGCAGCCAATTTTGTGTGCTCCCAAAACTCCACAGAAATGCCGACCGTGGACACGCATTTGCTACATCCAGGGTCCGTATTCGCATGTAGCCGCTTATGTGCCTGCCGTGGACAGCCGCTGCGCTACGGTTTGTGCAACAGACTTGACAGCCACCATCAGGAGGAAGGGGTGTGTGGTGTTGTACTCACAGTGTGGCACATTCACAAAGAGAAGACTTTTCGCCACCATGCTGGAGGGGTTGTGGGGGAAAGAGGGACTATGACTCGCATTTTGGTGCGAGTGTTTAAAAATTCAGGGTTATTGCAGGGGCGTGGAAATTTTTTCAAAAAACTACTTGTCTAGGGACTAAATCGGTGTCACAATCAACTTGTCCTGATTAAAAAAAAACATAAATTTTATTTATTACCGCTTTAACCACTTGCCATCCGGCCGCTGTATATAAACGGCCGGACGGTGGCAGTGCAGGGGCGGGTTGCCGTTCATAAACGGCACCCACCATTTTGGATTGTGCACGCTCCCTGGGAGCCGTTCATAAATAGCGCCTGCCATTTTGGATTGTGCGCGCTCCCTGGGAGCACGCGGCACCGCGACCCGGTGCCCACTGTGTCCTCCGATCGCTGTACGGGACCTCTGTGTAAGGTCTCGATCATGTGATCACTGATTGGCCAATCGGTGATCACATGAATAGGTGTAAGCAAGATGTCACTTCTGACATCATTGCTTCCTACGAGTGAAAGCTGTGAATGATCACATGGTACAAGGCTATTCACAGCAGCCTTGTACCATGTGACAAGCTGTGACCAATCACAGCTCACACATTATTTCTCAATGGCTGCAGGAATGCAGCCAGAGAGAAGGAGAAATGATTGCTTTACAGCCTTTAGGGGTGTAAAAGCAATCGGTGTAAAATAAATAAATCATGCCCCCCCACAAGTAGTACAGTGTCACTATGGTGACACTGTACTGCTAGGGTGACTGTGTGTTAAAAAAAAATATAAAAAATGTGAAAAAATATTATTTGTGATTATAAACTAATATGGGTTTGGTTTTTTTTTTTTACTAAAAAGATAACTGATTTTTGGACAAGATTTATGAAGAAAGCTTATTTGCAACATTTTATAAGAAAAACACTTTTTTTTTCAAAATTTTTGGAATTTTTCATTTATATAGCAAAAAAATAAAAATCCCAGCGGTGAATAAATACCACAGAAATAAAGTTTTTTTATCGGTCTCAAAATAATGCTAAAAAATGTAATATGGGTACAGTGTTGCATGACAGCGCAATTGTCATTCAAAGTGCGACAGCACTGAAAGCTGAAAATTGGCCTGGACAGGAAGGGGGTGAAAGTGTCGACTGGAAGGGGTGTGAAAGTGTCCGGACTGGAAGGGGGGTGAAAGTGTCCGGACTGGAAGGGGGTGAAAGTGTCGGACTGGAAGGGGGGGTGAAAGTGTCCGGACTGGAAGGGGGTGAAAGTGTCCGGACTGGAAGGGGGTGAAAGTGTCCGGACTGGAAGGGGGTGAAGGCGTCCGGACTGGAAGGGGGGGGTGAAGGCGTCCGGACTGGAAGGGGGGGAAGGCGTCCGGACTGGAAGGGGGTGAAGGCGTCCGGACTGGAAGGGGGTGAAGGCGTCCGGACTGGAAGGGGGTGAAGGCGTCCGGACTGGAAGGGGGGGGGAAGGCGTCCGGACTGGAAGGGGGGGAAGGCGTCCGGACTGGAAGTGGGGGTGAAGGCGTCCGGACTGGAAGTGGGGGGTGAAAGCGTCCGGACTGGAAGTGGGGGTGAAAGCGTCCGGACTGGAAGTGGGGGGTGAAAGCGTCCGGACTGGAAGTGGGGGTGAAAGCGTCCGGACTGGAAGTGGGGGGGAAAGCGTCCGGACTGGAAGTGGGGGGGGAAAGCGTCCGGACTGGAAGTGGTTAAGGAATGTCTGGGGCTTTATGGCGACTTAAATGTTTAATATTTTTTAACATTGCGTTGTTTATCTCCCCCTCCCCTCCCCCTCCTCTCTCCAGCACTGCATCGGGGACTAGCAGGGAGGAGAGAGACCTTGCAGTGTAATGAGCACCAATTGGCTGCTCGTCAGGAAAGGGGAGTGTCCGGCTTATCCCTTTCGCTGCTCGCGTGGTCTCTTGCGTTTATTTGTACACGTTTTAAAAAATTATTTTAGGCCTGAAGATGACACAAAACCCCCCAAAACATTGTATATTTTCTGAAATCGGAGACCCTAGAGAATAAAATAGCGGTAGGTCCAATTTTTTTATGTCGCATGATATGATCACAAAGGTCTAGGAAACGCAAAATGTCAGTAAAAAATACACTTCTGTTAATTTTAGGGCACATTTTATACTGCTCTATTCACACCGCACCAAAAGGTGCAGGACCATTTTCTAGAATCTGATTGCATAGGCATTCACACCTCTGTGATATGATTCTGCACATCGCACCGCGTTTTGCGGGACCGCTTTCGGGGTGTTGTTAGCTAAACATACACACTCGCAGCAGTTCGCATGTACGGGGCGCAATTCTGAAGCACAAAAAGCAATAAAGTATTAAATTTTTTTGTAAAATATAGTAAAAGATGAGGTTGCATCAAGTAAATGGATATCCAACGTGTCAAACCTTAAATTTGCACGCACTCGCGAAACGGCAACATACTTTAGTACCCTAGATTTTCTATAGGCAACACTTTTAAAGCCCCTTATAGGTCATCAGTGTAGTGCACGGGAATCTGAACAGGGACCCAGAAGTGACGTCACATTACATCTGGATCAGAAAGGAAGGGGTGCGGATGTGTCCACTCTCCTCCTCCCTCCCCTATACCACATCCCGCGGCACCCCCCGAACCAGTCTCGGGCCCGCAGATGGGCAAGCGGAGCCCGGGACATATCGTGGGGAAGATGCTAACCCTGTGGGCTGTGTGGAAGCAATCGGGCAGCATCGCTGCTGCCCGATTGCTTCCACCTGACTGGTGAGCCCTGCTGCTTGCCCGCACCAGGGCTAAGGGCAAAAAAAAAAACCTACTTGCCCAGCGCCCAGAACTAAATGTCGGGTGATAGGAATTGGACATCCCTGTATTGGCAAGAGGTAATTCAATATACCGTATTTGCCGGCGTATAAGACGACCCCCTACTTTTCCTGTTAAAATATAGGGTTTGAGCTATACTCGCCGTATAAGACTACCCCTCTTCCAACGCACACCAAATAAAAATGAAAAAACATCAGATTTGATTTCAATATGGTATGGTATTTCAGTATGGTATTCCAATGATGGGGTGCTATTCCTCCCACTGACACCAATGATGGTGCCCCAACATTAGTGTCAGTGGGAGGAATAGCACCCCATCATTGGTGTCAGTGGGAGGAATAGTTCTCCGTCATTGGTGTCAGTGGGAGGAATAGTGCCCCATCATTGGTATCAGTGGGAGGAATAGTGCCCCATCATTGGTGTCAGTGGGAGGAATAGTGCCCCATCATTGGTGTCAGTGGGAGGAATAGTGCCCCATCATTGGTGTCAGTGGGAGGAATAGTGCCCCATCATTGGTGTCAGTGGGAGGAATAGTGCCCTGTCTTTGGTATCAGTGGGAGGAATAGTGCCCCATCATTGGTGTCAGTGGGAGGAATAATGCCCCATCATTGGTGTCAGTGGGAGGAATAGTGCCCCATCATTGGTGTCAGTGGGAGGAATAGTGCCCTGTCTTTGGTATCAGTGGGAGGAATAGTGCCCCATCATTGGTGTCAGTGGGAGGAATAATGCCCCATCATTGGTGTCAGTGGGAGGAATAGTGCCCCATCATTGGTGTCAGTGGGAGGAATAGTTCTCCGTCATTGGTGTCAGTGAGAGGAATAGTGCCCCATCATTGGTATCAGTGGGAGGAATAGTGCCCCATCATTGGTGTCAGTGGGAGGAATAGTGCCCCATCATTGATATCAGTGGGAGGAATAGTGCCCCCCATCATTGGTGTCAGTGGGAGGAATAGTGCCCCATCATTGGTGTCAGTGGGAGGAATAGTGCCCCATCATTGGTGTCAGTGGGAGGAATAGTGCCCCATCATTGGTGTCAGTGGGAGGAATAGTGCCCCATCATTGGTGTCAGTGGGAGGAATAATGCCCCATCATTGGTGTCAGTGGGAGGAATAGTGCCCCATCATTGGTGTCAGTGGGAGGAATAGTTCTCCGTCATTGGTGTCAGTGAGAGGAATAGTGTCCCATCATTAGTGTCAGTGGGAGGAATAGTGCCCCATCATTGGTGTCAGTGGAGGAATAGTGCCCCATCATTGGTGTCAGTGGGAGGAATAGTGCCTCATCATTGGTGTCAGTGGGAGGAATAGTGCCCCATCATTGGTGTCAGTGGGGAGGAGGAATAGATCCCCATCGTTGGTGTCAGTGGGGAGGAGGAATAGTGTCCCATCATTGGTATCAGTGGGAGGAATAGTGCCCCATCATTGGTATCAGTGGGAGGAATAGTGCCCCATCGTTGGTGTCAGTGGTGGAGGAATAGTGCCCCATCGTTGGTGTCAGTGGTGGAGGAATAGTGCCCCATCGTTGGTGTCAGTGGGGAGGAGGAATAGTGCCCCATTGTTGGTGTCAGTGGGGAGGAGGAATAGTGCCCCATCGTTGGTGTCAGTGGGGGAGAGAGGAGCGCGGCTGCTCCTTCTTTCAGTCCGGCCGCTCGATTTTCGCGGGGGCCGCTCGGCTCCGCCTCCTCGCCGGTGATTGGTCGCCTGTGTGCCTTTCCAGTGCTGGCGCCCAATCACCGCTGAGGAGGCGGAGCCAAGCGGCCGCGCGCGACCATCGAGCGGCCGAACTGAAAGAAGGAGCAGCCGCGCTTCGTGGACCGGATCGTCGTGGGACCGGAGCCAGGTAAGGTACAGCAGCCCCTCTGCCCACCCCTGTACTTAGTGTCCGTTGGAGGAGGAAGGGGGGCGGCGCCGCGCCGCCCCTCGAAAGTGCTGCCCTGACACCGGCTCGCCGTATACCGGCGTATGACTTTTCAGAAGATTTTCATGGGTTGAAAAGTCGTCTTATACGCCGGAAAATACGGTATACAGGAGATTTTGGGATAACTATTCAAAAAGATCCGTGGGTATGCCTGTTTTTATAGGACAGAGATATCAGTAAAACAATATAAAAATAGTCTATTATACCATTTTAATTAGTGCTGCAAAAGGCTTAAGCCCCAAATTTTGGCAGGCATGGAACCCCCCCAACAATGAGAGATTGGGTGGAGGATTAAAGCGGAGCTCCACCCAAAAGGGGAATTTCCGCTTTAACCCCTGTACACCGGCTGCACACAAATGTGTGGCTCTCCGGCGTCTGGGCCTAGACGCCGAGCAGCCGCACATTTGCATTAATTTAAGATTAAACATATGTGCTGAGAGCGCGCACCCTGTGCGCTCCCAGCACACATGTCCGGTACTCATGGAAAGGTCCCGGTCTGCTCTTTCGATCGGGACTTTTCCCGATCATGTGACCGCCGTGACGTGTCGTCACGGCGTTCACATGATCCCTAAACCACGGCCCGCCTCCCAGCGTCTGAAACTCTTAAAGGGCCAGGAGGCGCTGGCAGGAAAGGGGTTAAGGACTGCTCCCCCGATTCCCATTACGGATTGGCACCTTTTGGGGAGCTGGTACCCGAATTTGACAGGTACCCACTTCCAGTCCAATCGCTTAGGCGATCGGAAGCGGAAGGTGTCTTCCCTCCCTGTAGTCTTTTGGGACACGTGACAGGTCCCAGAAGACAACAGGACCATTCATGAAGCGCAGCGCTACGCGTGCATGCGCAGTGGGTACCCGGCTGTGAAGCCGCAAGCTGGGTACCCACACTGAAGATGCCGGCCACCTGGAATGCAGGACGGCTGGTGAAACGAGCTGCGGGGGACACACCGCGGGATCGTAGGACAGGTAAGTGGCTGTTTTTTAAAAGTCAGCTACAGTTTTTGTAGCTGCTGACTTTTTTTTTTTATTTTTTGACAGGCTGAGTGGAACTCGGCTTTAAGTATATAAATAATATGAAGGAGTAAGCCTGGGTTCACATACATGCGGTATATCGCATGTGATTCGCACAGGAACCGCACCACAATCCTGTGCAAATCACATTATTATTATACAGGACTTCTATAGTGCCGACAGTTTGCTCAGCGCTTTACATTATGGAGGGAGACAATACAGTAACAATACAGTTCAATACAAGAGGGATTAGAGGGCCCTGATCCTTGGAGCTTACAATCTAGGAGGGAGGAGATAGTGGTACAAGAGGTAATTAGCTGTGGGGGATGGAGTGGTAGGAGGAGTAGGGGATTCCAATATTAGCTGGGGTCGGGGTAGGCTTCCCTGAAGAGTGCGCCTAAAAGTGAGCAGAGTAGAAGATAGCCTGATAGCTTGGGGTAGGGAGTTCCAGAGGATGGGTGAAGCCCTTGAGAAATCCTGGAGACGAGCATGGGAGGAGGAGACCAGGGAACTAGAGAGTAGGAGGTCTTGCGAGGAGCGGAGAGTACGGTTTGGGTGATATTTAGAGAAAAGGTCGGTGATGTCATTAGTGGCAGTGTTATGATCACATGAAATTTGTGTGCGGGGCGATCGAAGCCGTACATTTTATATGGCTCTATTCGCACCGCACCCGAACCAAAAAGGTGCAGGACCCTTTTTTTTTGGGTCCCGCACTAGAATTGGATCGCATGGGCATTCACACCTATGCGATCCGATTCTGCACATCGCACCGCGTTTTTTGCGGACCGCTTTCGGGGTGTTGTTAACTAAACATAGACACCCGCAGCAGTTCGCATGAACGGGGCACAATTCTGATGCGGAGCGGAATTCGCACAGAAAACTCTGCACATTCCGCACCGCAGCAGTGTGAACCCGGGCTTATACCACATTGAGGGAGATGGAATGGAGCAGGTGGTATGGTGTTTTTTTTTTTGTTTTGTTTTTTAATCGTCTGAAAAATATCTCGAAATTATGGTGCCCCTAGTGGTGGAGTTTGAGAACTAAACCGAATAAATGGAAAGTTGTAGTGTGGGGAGAGAATTTAGGGTTTTGACTGTGATTTAGTAGACCGGTCAAGAAAGAACTATCTGGACGGGTAATTGTTGGGTATGTTTCCTGTGTACTAGTTTTAGGATTCATTTTCAGTCCAAACATTTTATCGCGCTCAATGTTTTTTTTTTGTTTTTTTTGTGTTGTAATGTTTTTTTTTTTTTTAAATTCTTAATCCAGAATGCGCCTGGTACAATGGAAAAAAACAGTCTAAAGAAGATGTAGCTTCCTTTCTGGATACTGTTGTGACTGCTCAAGAATTTCTCCAGGTATGCGGTGTTTTCTTTCCTTGTATATTCAATGAATGGTAAAGTGTATCTAAATTTTAAAAAAAAATTTAATTTTTTGCGGCTTACCAGTTCTTAGATGAGATGGCTGCATGAGTTTCTTTGTTTTCTGGCTTTTTGTTTCATTTGGTGATCCTGCCAGTAACACGTTTCCTGTCCTAGGGTGACAACACTTATTCTGCTACTGTATCTATGAAGGGAGCCATGGTTGTCACCCAGGCTTGACATTAACCCCTTCATGCTGGCGCCTCCCGGCCCTTTAACCTCTTGCCGTCCGCCTGCTGTTTATAAACGGCAGGGCGGTGGCACTCCAGGGGCGGGTTGTTGTTCATAAACGGCACCCGCCATTTCTAGCTGTGCGCGCTCCTTGGGAGCGCACAGCACCGCGATCCGGTGCCCGCTGTGTCCTCCAGACTTGTGACATCATTGCTTACTATGTGTGAAATCTGTGAATGATCACAGAGGTCACATGGTACAAGGCTATTCACAACAGCCTGGTACCATGTGACAAGGTGTGACCAATCACAGCTCACATAGTATTTCTCAATGGCTACAAGAATGCAGACAGAGAGAAAGAGAAATGATTGCTTTTACATCCTATATGGGTGTAAAAGCAATCACTGTAAAAAAAAAAAAAAAATCTTCATCACCCCCCACAAGTAGTACAGTGTCACCATGGTGACACTGTACTGCTAGGGTGACAGTATGTAAAAAAAAAAAAAAAACATAAAGAATATAAAAAAATAAAAATGTAAAAAAAATGTTAAAAAATTATAATTTTTGGTTATAAACTAATTTGGCTTATTATTTTATTTTTTATTTTTTTTTACTAAAAAAATATAACGGAATAAATTTTGGTCAAGATTTATGATGAAAGATTATTTATTTGCAAAATTTTATAAGAAACACTTTTTTTAAAAAAATTTTGGACATTTTCATTTACATAGCAAAAAAAAATAAAAATCCCAGCGGTGAATAAATACCACCAAAATAAAGCTTTATCTGTCTCAAAACAATGGTAAAAAAATTCATATGGGTACAGTATTGCATGACCCGCGCAATTGTCATTCAAAGTGTGATAGCGCTGAAAATTGGCCTGGGGGGGAAGGAGGTGAAAGTGTCTGGACTGGAAGTGGTTAAGGGTTTCAGAAGCTGAGGGGCGGGGCAAAGTTCAGGGTCATGTGACGGCGTGTCACGGCGGTCACATGAACGGGAAAGGTCCCGATCGAAAGAGGAGATCAGGACCTTTCCGTGAGTATCGGACGTGTGTGCTGGGAGCGCGCAGGGCGCCTGTTCTCAGCACATATGTCTTTTTTTTAATAGAACGCAAATGTGCGGCCACCCGGCGTCTAGGCCCAGACGCCGGGAGGATGCACATTTGCGTACGGCCAGCGTGAAGAGGTTAAAAATAAACAGTTACAACACCTCCTGCACTCAGGGACCCTGACCAGTGGAGGGCCGATGGATCAGTAGTATAAAAAGTATAAAGATGTATGGAAGTTCGTCCCAAACCGATGAAAGGCTGTGCAGCTCCAACACAAAGCTGGGGAAGCTTGATACAAACTGTAGTGAAGAACAAAAACCTTGCGCATGACCTCCGTAAACAGTAAATTTATTGATTTAGGAGATCTACTCACAAGAGTAGTAATAAAACAGGCATATGAAATCCAAAAGCGCATCCTACGATAAGGAAATGCATGCGAATCCCATCCGAAGGGGAAATTCTCAGAATGACGCTGATGCGTTTCTAGGGGGGGGGGGGGGGGGGGGGTTGGGTGTCCCTTCTTCATCAGAGCTCTGTTTTTGTTCTTCACTACAGTTTGACATTAGAAACGCCTGTGTTTTTTTTTTTTTGTTTTTTTTGTGTTCATTTCCATTTCATGGGGAGCTAGGGGATTCTGCAAAAACAAACAAAACAGAGGACACTCTGGCCTAGTGCATTACCCTTTAAAAAAAAAAAACAAAAACTAAAAAGAAATGAAAAATAATACAAAGAAAAGTGTCACAAGTAGTACGAAAGAGCCATATTTTATGGATAATACACTAGTACAGTGCGTCGTCCTGTTTTTTGTTTTTTTTTTTTTCTTTTCATTGCAGTATCTCTACTATAGACTTCTCCCAGTTTTGTGAGGGCAGCAAGGCGAGAGAGCCAGGATATGATTGCAGCCTACTGACATTTTTTTCGGGCCCACTTCCCAAGCGCAGGAGTATTAACGCTTTTCAGAGTGGGGGGATTAGTAGTTTACAGAAGGAAAATAACCATGTTGGTGATCTTAACTCGCCTCATAGGAAACGACAAGCGCACCACATTTCTGGCCTCCTCACTTGTGCGCACTCCCTGGGAGTGCGCAGCACCGCGATCCGGTGCCCGCTGGGACACAGTGGAACACCGATCATCGTACGGGACCTCTGTGTGAGGTCCCGATCATGTGATCACTGATTGGCCAATCAGTGATCACATGAAGAGTAGTAAGCAAGATGTCACTTCTGACATCATTGCTTACTACGTGTGGAATCTGTGAATGATCACAGAGGTCGCATGGTACAGGGCTATTCACAACAGTCTTGTACCATGTGACAAGCTGTGACCAATCACAGCTCGCACAACATTCTCAATGGCTGCAAGAATACAGCCAGAGAGAAGGAGAGAAATTATTGCTTTTACAGCCTTTATGGGTGTAAAAGCAATCGGTGTAAAGAAAAAAAAAAAATCTTCTTCACCCACCCCACAAGTAGTACAGTGTCACAATATTTATGGACCTGACTGTAGTTGTTGGAGTCAAAGTCACTTAAATCCCTTTTCTTCCCCATTCTGATGCTTGGTTTGAACTTCAGCAAGTCGTCTTTACCAGGTCTAGATGCCTAAATGCGTTGAGTTTCTGCCATGTGATTGGCTGATTAGCAATTTGTGTTACCAAGCAATTGAACAGGTAGACCTAATAAAATGGCCGGTGAGTGTGCATATACTGCATTTACACAGTCCAAACAATCAATATAGAAGATGACATAAATTGTAACAGATGTTATACAAATGTGTGTTAATTATGGACTTGAACCTAGCATTGATGTTTATGCATATACAAGGAATTTTTTTTTTTTTTTTTTTCTCGTGTGGGATGTCAAGTACATGTATAGTGGACAGGTACGTGTTGTATGATGGACTGTCAATAATCACAGCAAGGCACTATCCTGGCTTGTCACAAGTTTGACGGTGGATAGAGGTGTGATGTGTCTGGACTGTATAGCTGGGGATATCCATGGTAACATACCCTTTAGTGAACTTCAGGTAGAGGTTAGGTTGGGTTCTGAATTTACAAATGTCTACCAAGCTCAGCCCTGAGGTTAGAATATCTGGGCCTGATCCTAGATACCGTCCAGGCAAGAGTGATCCTCCCTCTGAACAAATGTCTTGTGCTGAGGACTTGGGTGGACTTGCTTAGGATGCTGACAAATCTCTTGATTCAACTTTGCATGGGAGTTCATTGAGGCAGTACCCTTTGCCCAATTTCATTCTAGACCCCTCCAATGGAATGTCTTGGTGGTATGGGACAGAAGTGCTATTACTCTCCAGCACGAGGTCTTTGGATTGGTGGATCTCCTCACAGGTGCTGCAAATGGGAAAAAATAATTTCTTCTATCTTGGATGGTCCTGAGGATGAATGCCAGCCTGGTGGACTTGGGTGGAGTTCTGGACAATCAGTCGGTCCAGGGAACTTGGTCACCATAGGAGAGGTTCTTGTCCACCAACATCTTGGAATTGAAGGCGATTCGCCTTTCCTTACTATGTTGGTCAGTGCAGCTAAAGGGCCTTCCTGTGAGGGTTCGGTCAGACAGTGCCATATCAGAGGCATACATAAACCGTGAAGAAGGCACCAGAAGTTGGGTGGCCCAGGAAGAAGTGGATCTCATCTTGTTTTGGAAAGAACTCCATGTTTCTGCGCTGTCTATATTCCAGGCATGGAAAACTGGCAGGCAGATTTTCTCAGCTGTCAACTGTCTCTCAAGGAGTGGGCTTGTGGTGGCTCATAATGGAGGAGCTCTTCCAGCGGTGGTAAACCCATCCAGGATATTCCATAGTCCTGACTGTTATTTTCTGGTTGCCATTACTTTGGCTTGCAGAGTTTTTTGGAATTGGCTGTTCGCTTTTATTATTTTATAAGAAGTTGTTCCTGGTGCTCCCATCTTGACAAGGTGGTTTCATGACCTCAGCTGTCCTTATTACCCTAGGTCAGGGGTGGGCAACTGTGGCCCTCCAGCTGTTGTAGAACTAAAAGGGCCCATGAGGCATTGCAAAACTGACAGTTACAAGCATGACTCCCAAAGGCAGAGGCATGATGGGACTTGTAGTTCACCAACAGCTGGAGGGCCACAGTTGCCCACCCCTGCCCTAGGTAGTTTCCTCATTCCATCTCAACCAGAACATTGTATTGTCCTCTTTCTGTCCTAAACCTCAGGTGCTGGGGACAAGACTTTTCACACTTGGAATGTAGTTTGCTATCAGATGTTACCTGAAGTCAACTGCTGATATTCTTCCATCTAAATCCTTTTTTTTTTTTTTTTTGTGCTTCCTGAAGACCAAAGTAAAGGTCACGCAGCTTCCAAATGCACCATTTCTCGTTGGATTCGGCAGCTTATTTCTCCAGCTTGTGGTCTAAAGGGCAAAGTTCCACCATTTTTGGTGACCGCTCATTCTATTAGGAGCGCCAGTGCCTCCCGGGCTATATGTCATTTAGATTTCAGTAGCTTAAGTTTGCAAAGCTGCTACCTTGTCGTCGGTTCATACCAGGGGCGGACTGACCATTTGGAAACTTGGGCACTGCCCGAGGGCCCGGGGTCAGTAGGGGGCCCCATGAGATGCCCTTGGTACCTTTTTCATAGACTTTTTTGAGTTTGGGAAAGGACACAGGGGTTCCATGATCCCCTATTGCCCGGGGGCCCCATGAGTTGTCAGTCCGCCCCTGGTTCATACTAACGCGACGTTTGACCAAGCAGGTGTTAAAGCCGTTGAGGTTGCTTCTTTCGGTTGGTGAGCTTTGCAGTCTTTCGTGAGACCCCAACCTGTTTTGGTTTGTTTGGGACCAGTTGGCTTGTTGCCGTGATGCCTTCCCCTCATATTCAGGGGTTTGGGACATTCCTATCATAACACCTAATGAAGATCCTCTATGTCTCGCAATGTACGATATAGAAAATGTGATTTTATGTATTTATTTATTTTTTTTAACTTGTGAAATCCTTTTCTTAGATTTCATCATGGGGGCACAGAGATCCTGCACCTCTGTCTTGTGGTTTATGACTTGCTATAAAAGCTGAAGCCTTGCCTAACGGAGGGGGACTTGTCTAGATGGGGGTCTTCCTGCTTCCTTTTTTTTTTTTGCCAGTGTCCAGTTGCTTGAAAATGACAGCATAACCCTTATGGTAATGGCTATGAGGATGCTGTGTGTCCTGTGATGTGCTCCAAGAAAATGATTTTTACAAGTAAAATCCCATTTTCCTACATTTTCAGACGTGTTTCATGACTGAAGTTCTTATGTGTTCATTGATTCATTTTGGGTAAGACATGAGCATACCATGACCATAATCTAACCTTTGTGTCTTAATCAGGATGGGCTTTCAGGAACTGAAGAATTCCTTTTCAAGTGCCTTCCACATTGGAATGGTTGTCACCGCTCCCAGATATTGGGTCTGATTAGCCAGATTCCTCTTCATGCCTTTTCAGGTAAATAAGGGAAAGATTTAAATTGGAGCATTAATCAGCTTCCTTCCTAGCAGTGACCCGGCAGCTCAGATCACCTGTCCTCCCTCCCAGCATTGGTTTAGCAGCTCAGTTCTTGTGTGTGATGTCATACCCTATGCTCTCCTTTCCTGCCTGCTCTTATCCCTCCACACTCCTTTTCTGCACATTCTGCCTGCTGTCGTTCCCTCTACATTCCTATCCTAAATATACTGCCTGCTGTTATGTCCTATACATTTCTCTGCTGCACATGCTGCCCACCATCATTGCCCCCACATTCCACTATCACACATACTGCCCGCTGTCATACCCTCTGCACTCCTCCTGTACCTGCTGCCCGCTGTCATACCCTCTGCACTCCTCCTGTACCTGCTGGCCGCTGTCATACCCTCTGCACTCCTCCTGTACCTGCTGGCCGCTGTCATACCCTCTGCACTCCTCCTGTACATACTTCTCACTGTCATACCCTCCACACTCCTCTCCTGTACATACCGCCCTCTGTCATACCCTCCCCATTGCTCTCCTGTACATACTGCTCACTGTCATACCCTCCACACTCCTCTCCTGTACATACTGCTTACTGTCATACCCTCCACACTCCTCTCCTCTCCTGTACATACTGCTCACTGTCATACCCTCCACACTCCTCTCCTGTACATACTTCTCACTGTCATACCCTCCACACTCCTCTCCTGTACATACCGCCCTCTGTCATACCCTCCACACTCCTCTCCTGTACATACTGCTTACTGTCATACCCTCCACACTCCTCTCCTGTACATACTGCTTACTGTCATACCCTCCACACTCCTCTCCTGTACATATTGCTTACTGTCATACCCTCCACATTCCTCTCCTGTACATACTGCCCACTGTCATACCCTCCACACTCCTCTCCTGTACATACTGCCCACTGTCATACCCTCCACACTCCTCTCCTGTACATACCGCCCACT